CAATTCTCAAGCACTTAGAAAAAAGGGGGAGCACACATAACCAACTATTCCAAAGCCATGAACCTTTTTGAGTCTTCTCAGCCCTTAGAATTGAATCATTTGGGAAATATCTGTCTTTTAAGATCCTACTCACAAGCAGCTCCGGGTTAGTTGCAACTCTCCAGAGTTGTTTACAGATGAGAGCCTCATTGAATAGGTTTATGTCATGAAAGCCCAAGCCTCCCAGGAGTTTTGGAAGGGTAATCTTGTCCCATTTCCTCCAGTGAATACCAGAATCAGAGGTGTCCCCATTCTTCCACCAGAATTTAGCACATAACTTAGAAATCTCTTTGCAGATAGAAACTGGAAGCTTAAAGCAGGTCATTGAGAAAACAGGCAAGGCTTGAAGGCCAGATTTAACTAACACTTCTTTGCCTGCTGATGATAGAAGCTTAGTTTTCCAACCTTGCAGCTTGCCTCTGATAGCTTCTAAGATGTATTCAAAAACTTTCTTCTTGGACCTGCCAATTCCCAAAGGCAAGCCAAGGTATCTGGTGGATCTGTGGGGAACTATTCGATTCAACACATTACAGATTCTATCCTTCAAGGTTTGAGGGGTGTTCCTGCTAAAGAAGATCCCAGATTTTTGAAGATTAACCCTCTGACCCGAGAAGAGTCTGTATTTCTCTAATAGGGACAGTATGTGAAGAGCTTGATCCACTCCAGCTTTGCAGAATAGCAATGAGTCATCTGCAAATAGAAGGTGTGAAAGAACAGGTCCATTTCTTGATAATTTGAGTCCAGAAATTATGCCTTCAAGTTGAGAGTGAGAGATCATGGCAGAAAGCAGTTCAACTACAATAATGAATAAATAGGGGGACAGTGAGTCCCCCTGTCTGATTCCTCTAGAGGGTGTGATGTTACCACTGACCTTGCCATTAATTTTGAAGGAGATTGAAGTAGAAGAAACACAAACCATTATCAGCTTTACAAAGTTTGAGTGAAAACCCATCTGGACCATGATTCTACGAATGCTTGTCCACTCAACCCTGTCAAAAGCTTTCATAAGATCCAGCTTGAGAGCCATGAAGAAGTTCTGCCCTGAGGAGTGTCTATTCAAATAGTGAAAGGCCTCTTGAGCAATTATGATGTTATCCATGAGCTGTCTTCCCTTAACAAAGGCTGACTGATAAGGGCTGATACAATCATTTAAGCAGATCATCAATCTCTGTGCAAGAACTTTTGAGAGAGTCTTGTAGATGACACTGCATAAACTTATTGGCCTGAATTGGTTCACGTTTTCTGGTTGAGCCACTTTGGGAATCAAGGAAAGAATTGTGTGGTTCCAATATCTAAGCAGCATCCCTGATTGGAAAAAGCTGAGAATTGCAGCCACAACATCTGCTTTTATCAGTTGCCAGAAGTGCTGATAGAATAAGGCATTCATGCCATCTTCTCCTGGGGATTTCTCAGGGTGCAAGGAAAATAAGGCAGATTGAACTTCATTCTCAGTGACTGGCTTTAGAAGACTCTGGTTCATTTCCTCTGAGATTGACTGGGGTATAAGTTGTATAATGGAGTCCCCATCCCAGCTTCCTTCAGATGAGAAAAGATCAGAGTAGTAATCTGCAATGTGGTTTTCTATATCTTTCTGAGCTGTGAGAACTTCCCCTTGAGCAGTAATGAGTCTTGAGATAGCATTTAACTTCCTTTTCTGAATAGTATAAGCATGGAAGAATTTGGTGTTACCATCCCCTTCTTTGAGCCATTTAAGTTTTGACCTTTGTTGCCAGTGCAACTCCTCTTGTCTGTATGCTTCATTAAGATCAGCTCTTGTTGAGTTCCATTGCTCCCAATAGTCATCATCTTTGTCTTCTCTAAGAACTTCCAGCTTCTTTGATAAGACTTCAATGGTTTGCTGATTCTTGGATCTGAATTTGGAGCTCCAAATGAGTAGAGTTATTCTAGTATTTTTAATCTTTTCTTTCAGCCTGAAAAAAGGGGTCCCAGATGAGGATTTTGCCCATGCTTTTGCCACAGTTTCTTGGACCCCCTCCATGCCTATCCATCTTTTGTCAAAATGGAACCTAACAGGAGGTTTTGACTGTTGTTGGCCTAAACTGAGGAGTAGCATTGAATGGTCTGAGGAGCTTCTTATCTTGTTGGTGACCAAAGCATGAGGAAATTCCTGAGTCTAGTCTGTTGAAGCAAAAGCTCTGTCAAGTTTTTCTTCCACTAGTCCTTCATCATTCCTGAGATTGCACCAAGTGAATTTATATCCCTGCATTGATAACTCCACCATTTCCATATTGTTCACAAAAGAGTTGAAGCCCATGAGACTTCTGGCACTCCTCATTATGCCCCCAGCTTTGTCTCCTTGGGCGCACAAATCATTCCAGTTACCCAAAGCAAACCATTTTGAGCCCCAGCTTCTTTTATCCTCAATCATATCAGCCCATTGAGAACTTCTGATCTGCTTACAGGTGCTCAGATAAACAAAAATCCCCCATTGCGGGGGAAAAGGAGGCAAGGCAAATTCAGCAGCGATGTAGAAAGATTTCTTGACAACATTAATAATATTTACATTACAATCCCATTGAAGCAGAAGGCCTCCACTTAACCCTACAGGATCTACAAAAGCTAGTCTATCTCCAAAACCCAATTTTTTAGCCACTGATTTCACAAAACCACTAGTTTTCTTAGTTTTAGAAAGAAAATGAAAAGATGGGTGGTGAGCCTTCAAGGACTCTCGGATTTGGGAAATTGTAGAGGGCCCACCCAACCCTCTACAATTCCACACCGCAGCTAGCATTGAGGGTTGGGGTGCCATTTGAGGCTGGCATCGCCCACCTGCTCTGAGTTACCTTTGAGTTTCTTCCCTGTTGCTGGAATTGACAAGGCCTGAGAAGTTTTGTGAGGGGGAGATGAGGAACTCTCCCTTATCCTCTTCAAACTGGAGTTGTCTTGGAGCATCAGCTCTTGATCATCATGCCTGAGTAGTCTGCCTTCTCTACTGAGGGCTCTCTTCCATGTTTTCTGCTGTGGTTTAGCTTGATTGTTGTTTGCTTTAACTTGTTTGTCCTCGATTTGAAGGGGAATATTTGTTATACCCAAGGTTGGCTCCACTTCCATCATCTTGGTCTGCTGAAGTTCTTCCTTAGGTTGAGAGCTTAAGACTAGAGTCTTGTGGTGAGATGGTTGAATGATCTTGCTTGTGGAAGATGGAGTAGGTTTGGATTGAGGAGTAAGATAGGTCTTAGGTTGAGAAGATGAATCCTCAGGCATTGAGTTTGAAGCTACTGTATCTGGTTGAGAGAAAGAACCGGGATGCTTATAAATTTGGACTATTTGTTTCCCTCTATCCATAAGACTAGAAGAACTCCTAGGGGGTGACTCTGGATTTGAAGAAGGGGCTTGACTTGAAGATGGGGAAGTTCTTTGTCCAGACTGTCCAATATCCACCCAGTACTGTCCCTCCACAGCCTTGATCCAATCCCCATATTGCCCCTCTTTGACTGAGCTGGATTTGATAGCCTCTATTCTTTGCTTGCAGCCTCGATCAAGATGACCTATTAGGCCACAGTAGTAACAAAGATTGTGCAATTTTTTCGTATCTAAAGCCCACTGTAATGAGTTGGTCATCAAGCTGAATGTTGGTGCATCTTGGTAGTGGCTCATTTACATTGACTGAAACCAAAAGCCTGATGATTTTCCCCCCATGGTTGCCTGAACTTGCCAAGACCACATTTTGAACTGAGTGAAAAATTTTCCCAATTTTGACCCCCACTTCCGTACTGAGCCAATTGATAGGAGATTCCAGATCTGCACCCAAAGCTTAACTACCTGGAAGTCAGGATGTCTGCTCGAAATTCCTGCCTCCCATTCTTTGAGAATTAAGTATTGGTTTTCAAAACTCCAACTGGTACCATCCGCTACTTTCCTCATGTCATCTTTACTTTGAAAGACAAATTGGAAAAAGTTATGTCCCAACTCTTTCACCTCCATCTGCTGTTGCAATCTCCAAATGTGGCTCATTGTTCTCTTGATTCCCAGCCAGCTTGCTTTACGATCTCCTATGACTCTGCCAAAGAGACTTTTCTGGCATTCTTCAGCGCACAATTTGATATCTTCATGAGCAATGCTGGTAACTAAGCTTTCCTTATCGGACAGAGAGAATTTTTTGATGCGGTCGGCTAGGTCATCGTCTTGACCTATACAACTGTGCTCAGCCATAACTAGGGTTCGGATTTTAGAATTGAAATGACTGCAGAAAGGACCACAGGTGAAGAAGACGTATGAAATCTTATATCTGGAGGTTTTTGAAATGATATTTGGCATAAGTGTTTTTTTGTTTAGAAATCTCACAAAATCTTAAAAAGTCTTAAAAAATCTGTGTCAAATAAATTAAATACATTTTGTACAGAAATCCTATGACACCACATGCGGCACCATATTATGGTGCCACAACATGATGTGACACATTATGATTGGTTTTCTTTATCACACATCATAATGTGCCACATCATATTGTGGCACCATAATATGGTGCCATAGAATTTTTGCATTTTGTAAGATTTTTTAAAAAATCTCAATTAAATACCCTGAAATTCTATTAAATTTTAACAAATCTAAATTAAATAATCTCGCATTTCTAAAATTTTATAAAGTCCTAGAAAACCTAATTAAATACACCATGAGCTGTAAAACTGAAACATGAAGAGAGGTAGATTTGGATAATTCCTCAAGTCTTCTTTGCCTTTTTTCCATTACACACCTCTTCGAATTAATATGTACGATATAAATACACACTCGCCCTAAAATTTGTTGATCTCTTTCTTGTTCCGGCAAAGGTCGCCTGATTGGGTTTCCCGACGATCGGTGGATCGGATCAAATCGATTGTATTGATCTGATTTTTTTCGTTTATAAATGTATCAATAAATTATTTGATTGTGCTTGGTAAAATTGGAGGTGAGAGCGATTGGAGAAAAGTAGAGAGAATTTTTCTTCGTGGTAGCGAAACATGTCTGCCGTTGTGTGCGGAAAGAGATCAAACATCTTTGAGGATTCACCTTCATCGCCGCCAGTCTCCAAAAGGATCCGCTGTTCGTCTTCATCCTCGTCCCCAGGCCGGAGCTTCTCGCCGCCCAGGGCTGCTGCGACCTCTTATAACTTATCCAATTCTGTGCTCGATCATCTTGTCGCACTCTTTCCCGACATGGATAAGCAGGTTGTTTAATTTTGTTTTTTTTTTTTTTTTTTTGTTCCCTGATTTTGGATTTAATTTCATGTTTCCGATTGAGTTTTGGGTATGTGGTTTATTTAATTTGATTTTTTGTAATTAATATTTTAATAGACGTGTTATTGATTGAATTATTTTGGTATACATTGTTCAGTCGATGGTTAATAGGTGAAATTCATGAAAGATTCGATTTTTATGTTATATGTTGTAAACTTATGATGAACTACCTTATTTTGTTGTTGATAAAATTCTGAACCGGTTTAAAATGTAAAATCCTCCGGTGTAAGAGGCTGTAGTGGGAGTTTTTTTTTTTGGTACACCAAGTGCCTAAATAAAGTTTCAATCTTCTTATATTCGTGATATGTTTTCTAGTTTTTGTACTTTATTCTACATTGTAGCTTACCATATGTTGTGTTTACTTGATCCAATTGCGATTCTTGATATTAAGGATGATATGTATTCAACATGCGAGATCGTTGGTATTTAAATAAATGGGAGATGTGGATATAAGTTTAATTTCGTAACATAAATCTTATATATTTCAATGTTATATGGTCTTGACCTAGTTTTATGCAGCTGACAGGTTGTCCATTCATTTCATTTCCTTTGTTCCCTGCTTTTTAATTCAATTTCATGTTTCTGATTGATTCTTGTGTCCTAGGAGTGAAAATGTGCTTTTGTCATAGATGGTTTATTTTATTTGGTTTTGTGTATTTACTATTTGACGGATGTGTTATCAATTGAATTATTTTGGTATTCTATTCAGTCGATGGTTAATAAGTGAAATTCTTGAAAGGTGCAATTTTTCTGTTATATTTTGTGATGTGATTCCTTATTTTATTTTGTTTTATATGATAAAATTCTGAACAGGCTTAAAGTGTGTAAAATCTCTCAGTGTAAGAGGTTTTAGTTGGACTTCATCTTTGTGCACCAAGTGCCTAAATAAAGTTCCGAGACATGTTTTCTACTTAGTTTTTGTACTTCATTCTACTTTGTAGTTTATCATATGTTGTGTTTAATTGATTAAAGTGTGCTTTTTTGACATTAAGGATGAGATGTATTCAATATGCTAAATCTTATACTAGTATATTTCAATGTTACACATTCTTGAAATAGTTTATGCAGCTGATAAGTAATCTTAATTTTAGTATCAGTTGTTGCTTTCAATTGCTAGCCGGTGAGAATATTATTCGATTAACTACCATTACAATCTAACCTCAGCTTGCACCATATTAAACTTTCAAGCAGTTAAACCATTGGATTTTGTTGTTACCTTGGAACTTGATGTTAGTAATTATGTCTCGTTTTCCACTATCCCTTTCTTTTAAATTGCAATGTGCATTATGTGGATAATATAATTTCTCAAGGTGTTTGGTAAGCAGTCTATGGAATATAATTAATCATTGGTTGTCAGTCTATATAAGTTCCGTATAACCATTATTTTCCTGTCGAGTTCTTGCCTTTTGGCCGACAGATCCGCTTTGGCTATAATTTAACTTCCTAATAAATAGTGAAGCTTCAGATTTGAATGATATTGAAACTGCTATTTCCTGTCTGCTTTTTAAGATCTATAACTCCATATATTTGTGAAATATGTTATTGAGAATTTAGATGGCGATGTCAACCCCGCCGCCTATAATTGGCTAGCAGTAGATGAGGGCCTCTTGTTATCTGATACCTGCATATATTAGGCTGATGTCTACTTTTGACGGGATACTTTTGAATTTAAAAGACCAATTTATTAGCCTCTATTTTTTTGTTTGGTTTATTAATTTATCTATATATTTTTTATGCTTTATTTCGGTTAAGTATGTATCTAGACTTAAATGTAAAAATATATTTTCTGCTGTATGGGTTTTGTGCGTTACTTTTTTCATTCATAGTCGACAAAAATCAAATGTCTTCATAAAGTAGGATTGGGCGCAGTTAAATAATCTTAATCTGCTGTACTTTGTCCTCTGTTTTCATATTAAACATTTTAGTATGATCAGGAAGCAGAAGATCCTTGGATTCGTGAATATAAAAATCTTAAAATTGTGCATGAATAACCTAAGGATGGCGACACTTTTTTTTTGGTTTCTCTTTTGTTTCGGAGTTTTGTTTTGGTGATTTTAGCACTCATTTCATGAAAATTTGTTTTTGGTATTCAATAATTTGGGAAGCTATGTAAAGGAATGTGTAAAATGCATAACAAACTTTGTGATAATATAAAATAAATGGTCCATGACCAAAGAAGTTGATGTGTACCTACCCATATAAGACAATTCAATGTTAACAAATCACAGAAGTAGTAATTTAGTGAGAAACGTCGGTTTTTTTTAACTTTTAACATTTTTTGACTTAAATAAGTTGAATACATGTATCAATTTTCCTAGCAGCCATGATCATAGTCATACGATACTTTGGTGTAAATAATTTTGTCCACCTCTTGGGAAATCATATTAAACCTAATATTACGGGTATTGTGTTTTTACTCTAGGGGGACAACATCTACCAAGTAGTATTTGACGTTTTCTACCTATCGAAAAATAAACCTGAAACCCCCATTAATTTCAAGCTAGCTTCATGTTCCTTGGCATCTGATATGTTATTTCGTTTTTTAGTTTTAGCTTAGACAGCACACGATTACTGTTATTTGCTTTACCTTTTATGCGGAGATTCTTATGGATGTAACTCTAAAAAGATTGCCTTTCAATTGTGGTAATAATAGATGTGTGCCACGTTGTGCTGGATCTGGGAGGTGCTGAAACGCTGACCTTGTTTTGTTTGATTATTATTGTTTCTCCCAATTAAATGATTTATTAAAAGAAATTTCGGATTTATGCTTAATTCTCAATTCTGATTTGTGATTTCTATACTTGGCAATTGGCATTCTTTAGCTAAATCGCAGCCGATATTTTCCAGTCAACATCTGAGCATGGTAAAAATAATTTTTGCGACGATCAGCGCGTAAAGGATATACTTTGTTCGATGTACTGCCGTGTGTCTTGATCTAGTAGCGTGCAGAGATAATTGTAATACACATTGCATTTATTTTTACTGATGTTAAATTTAATTGATTAGTTGATGGATTGTTTTCACTTGTAGTTTCTGGAGAAAGCCCTTGAGGAAGCTGGTGATGATTTGGATTCTGCAATCAAAAGGCTTAATGGACTTCGGATTAGTGCTGCTGCAAGTGTGTCTGATATTACACAAGAAATTGGCAATCAATTTCGTTCTGAAGGTGTTCCTTTCTTTTCTATTTTTCTTCCTTCTTCCTTTTTTCTTTTTTATTTTCCCTTTGGCATGGTCTAGTGAAACTAACTTTGATTTGTCTTGTTTAACTTTGTCTAGTGACTAGTCACATATAGTTTTCGTGCTCAACCCACTGAAATGCCCGTATTATTAACCTTTTGATGATTTGATGCAAAGTTTATCTCCTCTTGAACTCAAGCTTTGCATCCTCTGCTGACACACTCGTTCTATTTACATATCCTGTTTATGGAGATGAACGAAGAGGGGGAAGATAGACTTATGTGGAGAGTTTTTTCCTATCTGGTTTGCACTTTAATTGTTCTATGAAAGAGACGGGGAAAGATTGATGGATAGGATAGGAGAACCATTGACATGGGAAATTCAAGTGCCGACAGCGGTTTACCTGAGCAATCCTGAAGTCCACAATCAACTGTGAGGAGGCCAGAGTAGAATATTTAGGGCCGACGAATTTTGTATTTCTAGGAGTACTGTTTTAGGTACCCAAACAATGTGATTTTTATTCCTTTACTTCTGGTTCTCACTTTTAAAGTGATAGAACATGAAATTCGAATTTAAGTTGTTGAGAGTGAGCGGGATTTTGATATAACCGGTCCTTCTTGGCTATATGAATGTGTCTAGCAATGAACTGAAGTTGGGACGTTATTGGATTGACTGTCGAGCTTGACATGTTTTATACTAGAACTTAGTGGTCTAACCAAATGGATTAACATACTATGGTGATGTAATTGGAATTTATGACTTTTGGTCATTCTTTTGGTGAATCAGACTTCCCCTGGATTTTTTATGCTGATGCCTTTGAACGAAGTGATTTTTTCCCCTAGATGGATCGAATGAGCTTTAGTTGCCTTAAGACTTGCATGCTTTAATTCAAGCATTGCTTCCAGAAGTTGTGAGGAGTTGATTGGAATTGCTTTGCAATTCAAGCAAGAATCTTGCCCGCTAAGGTGTTTATTGGTTTTTGTTTAGCTTATAAGCACCATGAATTCAAATAAGCTTAGAAAAAAGTTTTGTAGGATGAGCTTGTTTAAAAAGCTCGAGCTCTCATAAGCTTCCTCGGGTAGCTTTTCAAATAAACACGTTGAAAAAAAAATCAGCTATCATCTATCTTTTCACTCATAAGCGGAAGCTATTATTTATAAGCTCGAAATTACTTATAAGCTATCAACTAACTTATCAGTTAGTTATCAGCTCGATATGTATCCAACTAGGTTTACCAAACATAGCCTATATTTCCGGAATGATTCGTACCCCCAAAAATGGGAATTGCTGTGTACCATTAATCACATATCTATCTCGAATCCCTGTTTCCTACTAACTTACCACATGAATGCCTTGTCCTTTAATTCTAGCTTTAAGTGATCAACATTTGTATATCAGAAAATTGCTCTAAAAATTTCATGTTTAAGCTACTTGTGGCTTTAGCTTGAGCTGCAGACAGAGCATACATAAAGGTGAAGTGGAGGCCCCATGGGCTTTTATCCAAACTCCGTAGTTGGTCATTCTTCCTGTTGTTTGGCAAACTTCTGTTCTATTTTGGTTATCATATTTATATTTATAGTGTTTCCTTAGTCTCCATTGCGTTTTGCTGTTATGTATGAACAGTGGCGAACAGTGAGCAAACTCCTCAAAGAGAGGAACCACCTACAGAAAGCAATCTCCCTGTTGATGGAGCAGAGTGGGTTGAGCTTTTGGTCAGGGAAGTTTTAACTGCTCCAAATGTGGATGATGCTAAGGCCCGCTTATCACAAGCTCTTGAGGCATTGGAGAAGTCCATTTGTGCAAATGCTACAGCAGAGGCTGCAAAAAATTTCCAAGAGGTGTGGTGTACTTTTAGGTTATTAGTTCCTTACAGCTTTGAGTAGATATCCATCCCTCTTTTAGTCTAGGTTATTTTATCTAATTATTGGTAATTTCATTATTATTATGGTCCAAGAACTATAATGTTCGTGCTAATGTATAGGATTAACACCTGATATCCTCTGTAGGAAAATATTATGGTAAAGCAGCAACTGGAAGCACTGCTGCATGAAAATACTATTTTGAAGCGAGCTGTTTCTATCCAACATGAGAGACAGAAGGCGGTTGAGGAAATGGGTCAGGAGTTGCATCAGCTAAAACAGCTGGTATCTCAGTACCAGGAGCAGGTCCGAACACTTGAGGTAAGATTTACAATCCTAAAAATTCCATGATTTTATAATTTAGTTAGATAGAAAAAATTAATACTAGGGATGGCTATATTATAGGCTCCCCATGTTGGATTGTGGTTGAGTTGTGATACAAGATTCAAGTCAAGATTTACTGTCAGAAATTTCTATCCATATTATTTTGTACTTTCTGTTGTTTGATCAGAGCAGAAGTGAGTAAACTATATTTTCTAATAAATTCCACATAGCTCATGATTCACTCTATGTTGGATGTTTACTAAAACTGTTATAGCGTCGTGTGAAATTTACTTGCCAGTCCACACTTCACTGGTGGCTGGAAGGACTATGTTTTAAACTTGAAATGTGTTTTGTATAATCCATTCTCAAGACATTAATACATTTTGTAAGCCCTTTATAGAAAGGATCTCTCTAGTTAGTACGCTACGTGCCTGCCTTTGAGAGCCTTTCCTTTCCGACCCTTCGTCGGCGTCATTGAACCTCGTTAGCATTTCGATCTGTTTGTTTTTATGGTTTAACAATCCTCTTTATCTCCACATTAACTTCTCAGGATCTACCAGTATCCATGAAGTAAAAATAAGACCTCCTGAGTCCAACAAATATAACTTATCAATATTCTTCTAGCAACCCGAGCCAGTTGTCCTATCGCCACTATATCAATCATGATAAGCTCAAGGATGTATATTTAGCTCTCCTTAGGCTTGTTTTAGAGTTCAGAAATGCCCTTCCAACCATAAGTCATCAGTGGCAACCTAACCGAATGTTGATCTAGATATAGGCTTTGAGCATGCCCATAGTTTCCACCACATGCACAGCTGCTACTGGGTTGCCCCCACATTGGGCATTGAATATGTTTATGTATGTTATAGGTTCTTAGAATCCATTAGTGTTCAATTATGGCAATGCATTTCCAATTTCAATTTCTTTCTATTTACAAGCTATTCCCGAAAGTTGTCAACTTAAGACGAGCAATTCTTCTTTGCTTTGCATTTTCAAATCAATGCAAACACCAACACCATCCCCGACAGTGCCAACCCTAGAAAGCATTGGCAGTGTGTTGTGTCCATGTGCAAAGCATTTGTGAAATATATATAAGTTGCCAATCCATGACGTGCACTTTAAACAATGAAGTAATTTTAAGCTGCACTCATTGGGCCATCACATAACTTGTAATATTATGCCGAAGATATTTGATCATTCTATGTTTGATTTGCATTTTGTTGGGAACCTCACTCTAATAATGGTGTACACATTTTAATGTTTTATTTCTCCAGGTGAACAACTACGCCCTTGCAATGCACCTTAAGCAGGCCCAACAGAACAGCCAATTCCCTGGGCGTTTTCACCCAGATGTGTTTTAGTTACTACCCTCTTGTATGTTATTTATGCATGCGGTGCACACTACAGTCTCTTGAATAATGCAGGATTTTGGCATAGTTGCCTTTGGTGTTGGGGTCCTATACTTCTGCTGAGTGTGCGCCGCTGCCATGTTTTCTTTGCTTGTTTGTGGTGCTTGTACTTTAAAAACGTTGCGGTCTGTCTTGTTATGTGTGATATATTTATGCAACTGGATTTGTTGCGGACTTGAGCTGCCTATACAACTATGAGTTTGGCACTGATAGGTATGTAGTGTTTGCCATTGAAATTGTGTATTTGGATAGTTGCAAAAACACGTTTGAGTTTGGTTTACTAGAGACATCAGCATATATTGTTTTGGCTCTGTCGAAACATAACAATTTTTCTTCGGATCCTTGCAAATAGAAATAGAGAACAAATTATAAAAAGTTGGAAAGAATCACCCTCTTTAGTCATCTAAAAAAAGCAATTGGTTTTGTACAAAAAGTTGACATAGGTGTTATGTGCATAATTTTGTTCATTTCTTAGAGCACCCATAATGCATCATTGAGTTCAATTTTATACATGTGGCAAATAAATTGACTTGTGTTCTGAATGATATGGACAAATTCAAGTAAATAAAACTAAAAAGCTATTCGGTGCAAAAATAAAATACTAAGTCTAGAATACTTGTCAACCAATAAAAATGCTCTAATATATTTATCATATTAAAAGAAAAATTAAATTAAGAATAAACGTTGACCGTTTATACTTGAGTTCAAAATAGACCAAATATTTGGTCTCTTTTATTTGATTGCCACATAACATAGATCATGTCAAATTTTAATTGCATTTCTCTTTTTTGATTGCCACATAACATAGACCATGTCCACTTTCAATTGTATTGGGAGACATTTGTTGTAGACTAAGTTTATTTGCTACATGACATATGTTATTTTTTTAAGAGACCCAATGCATTGTGGGTGCTTTTAAGTCTAGGAATTTACTTATCTTCCATAAGAGCGTTGAATCAACATCGCTATAATCTCCAACCGTCCAAGCTAACGATGCAGGTCTGTTCTTGCTACTTGTTTATTTTATCTTATTATTAGATTAGAATCCCCTTCCCCCCTATATATTAATTCAGAACGCACTGAGCCTACGTGGCTTCTTCTGATGCTTCGAAATCTTATGTGGCAAAATTACATGCTTCGTTATTAGACTTGGTTAAATTTTAATTTAATTCCAAACAAAAAATAATTAGGTTCGGATTACCATAAATATGTTGGTTATTTATGGTCATGTTACATGTGTTAATTGCATTTTAATATCATTCCTTATTATAACTATTGAATTGTATATATATTTTAAAAGTTAATAACTTTTGTATTTTTTATCAGTTTTACATATGTAATATATCAAATTAATCTTCTTTTGATGAACTTCGATTTAACATCCATATTGTATGTATAAAAAAATAATTTATATTTATCGTTATAACAATAATAAAACTAATTTTAATAGTAATTAGAAAAATAAAATTATTTATCAACTAATATATTTATATTTCAAGTAGTTATATGATATAAGTTATAAAAACAAATATAATATAACACATGTAAGTCATAAGTAACACATATCATTATAAAATATATAGTAATATATATTTTTTTTTTTTGTAAAAAAGTAAACTAAATTTAATATAGTTTTCTCATTAATTTTAAAATTTAAGAATAATTTTTTAACAAGCACCCGTGTAATACACGAGCATGCACTGGATCAAGCATGCTATACTAACAATTTTGGTAGCGGCTCATGGAGGTTTACCAAAGGATCATTGTTAGCTGCTAAAGGTACAGTGAGATCGACATTGTACAGAACTCAAGTGAAGCTGATCAAAGGTGGACTTAATGCAGTCGAAGATGATGCTTCGCCAAATTTGTGGCACAAAAGACTGACTCATATTGGTGAAAAAGAATTGCAAATTTTGGCAAGAAAATCCCTCATCCCATTTGCCAAAGATATATGGTCTAAAGTAAGTTAAATTGCTAATGACATTCATCTTATGTAATTGCATTATTAAGATGGCTAACTGCTCCCACAGGGTAATGTGGTTCTGAATTTAATAAGCAGAGTTCAACGTGCATATGTCGTTAGCTAATTTCTTTCCTTTATGTACGTAGATTGGAGATGCCCATAGTAGAGGTTTGTAAGTACGTGGCTGCTTCTGGTGCTTCGGAATCTTATGTGACAAAATTACATGCTTTGTTATTAGGCTTGGGTAAATTTTAATTTAATTCCAAACCAAAAATAATTAGGTTCGGATTACCATAAATATGTTGATTATTTATGGTCATGTTACATGTATTAATTGCATTTTGATATTATTCCTTATTATAACTATTGAATTGTATATATATTTTAAAAGTTAATAACTTTTTTATTTTTTATCAGTTTTACATATGTAATATATCAAATTAATCTTTTTTTGATGAGTTTCGATTTAACATCCATATTGCATGTATGAAAAAAAATAATTTATATTTATCTTGATAACAATAATAAAATTATTTTTAATATTAATTAGAAAAATAAAATTATTTATCAACTAATATATTTATATTTCAAGTAGTTATATGATATAAGTTATAAAAACTAATATAATATAACACATGTAAGTCATAGACTCATAAGTAACACATATCATTCTAGAATATATAGAAATATTTTTTTATTTGTAAAAAAAATAAACTAAATTTAATATAGTTTTCTAATTAATTTTAAAATTTAAGAATAATTTTTTAACAAGCACCCGTGTAATACACGGGTGTTGTACTAGTTGTATTTTAATATGAAATAGAGACTCATCGTATTATTCGTTTTATTTCATTCCTACAATAGCATGTATACTAAGTCAATCACTTTTTCTTATTAAAAAATTAATCGGCAACAAAATTTATAATCACGTGCATCATACGTGCACTTTAGATCATTCAACTTTCATAATTCACCTTGTATTATTTCACAATCAAAACTAAAAGCATTCATCCACCTTCCCAATTCTTTACTAACACAACAAACTATTGCAAGTTTAAGAGCCTCAAGCAAAGGAATCGCGTTTTCCTCCTTCTCGCCTTTCCGCCGGACCATGAACTTGGAAGCATATACACTGCTTCCACTCCACATCCTCAACAAAGACAAAGAAGAATCCGTACGTTCGCCATGCGGACCTTTCATAAGCCAGGTCTCGTTTTCCAGGTCAGCCTCTGTTTTCTGATCGGTTGGGAGTGCGCTGAGCCTACGTGGCTGCTTCGAAATCCTATGTGGCAAAATTACATGCTTCGTTATTAGGCTTGGATAAATTTTAATTTAATTCTAAACAAAAAATAATTAGGTTCGGATTACCATAAATATGTTGATTATTTATGGTCATGTTACATGTATTAATTGCATTTTAATATCATTCCTTATTATAACTATTGAATTGTATATATATTTTAAAAGATAATAACTTTTGCATCTTTCATCAGTTTTGCATATGTAATATATCAAATTAATTATCTTTTGATGAACTTTGATTTAACATTCATATTGTAATCACAAAAAAAAAATAATTTATATTTATCTTTATAACAATAATAAAATTATTTTTAATATTAATTAGAAAAATAAAATTATTTATCAACTAATATATTTATATTTCAAGTAGTTATATGATATAGTTATAAAAACTAATATAATATAACACATGTAAGTCAGAAGTAACATATATCATTTTAAAACATATAGTAATATATTTTTTTGTAAAAAAGTAAACTAAATTAAATATAGTTTTCTCATTAATTTTCAAATTTAAGAATAATTTTTTAACAAGCACCCGTGTAATACACGGGTGTTGTACTAGTTTTTATTAATTACTAATTAGGACGATTTTTGTGATCAATTTTTTGGAAGAAGAATTGTGAGAAGATTATTCAATTTAAAATAAAAGATTTTTTAAAGAAATTTAGTAAATCTTGGATATATGTAGATCTCAATTTTAATATATTTCTACACATTTTCTATGTATATAACAATATCGACCGTAACTAAGATTAAAATGTATTACTGTTTCTGAAAAATAAGTGGTAAAGTTGGATTAGTGTAAATTTAAATTTTGAAATTGAATTTGATTTATTTTGTTTTAACAAAAGATTGGATTATTATAGTGATAAATTTCTTAAAAGATATTGTTGCGTGAAATGTGGGATGTTTGTTTCATACTCTAAAAAAATCGGGTTAATTGGCAACAAATAGATTTCCGAATCAGATAAAATGGCAACTAACTTATTTTTAGATGATTTAAATTAAAAATAAAAAACCTAATAGATTTTTGGATTTTATAATTAGCTGTTAGCTGTTAGCGGATTGAATTAGCTGTTTTGACCAGCGGAATATGTTAGCTGTTTTGACCAGCTGATTGTGTTAGCGGTTTGTAAAAAAGTGTTTTTCAATTAATATATTCATGTTTAATTTAGTTATATGTTATAAATTAAAAAATTATTATAATATAATACATATAAAATTAATAAATTATATTGAACTTATAATTAGTTAGGAAATAAAACAATAAAAAAAATCATTAATGCATTTAATAAATATAAAAAAATAATACTACAATAACACAAATAAAAAATTAACATCAAATAAAGTGTTTTTTTTTTCTGTTACGTGGCACAAGAAACAACAAAATTGATTGTCAATTTTTAGCTTTAATAATGTGTGTTGTGACATCATTCGTTTCTTTCTTTTTTTTCTTTTTCAATTTTCGCTGCTATAAGTTAATTATTTTCTCAAACGCTGTTGCAAAACGCTGCCATTTACAGCGTTTTAGATTTTAGCGTTTTGATCAAAAAAGCCATCATAAAAAGCCACTTTACCAAACATCATAAAATAGCTTTTTGCTAAGGTCAAACAGCTAAAATGATTGAAACCGCCAAAAGCTACCCAAAACGCTATTTACCAAACACAGCCGACATGTTTTAAC